GGTAGTAGCCTTCTGCCATGTGTCCCGCTCCCTGCTCATGATGTGCAAGAATGAATTCAAATCTATGGGCTCGGTAGAGGCTGTCCATTAACGGGAGAGAGGCACCGCCGGGGTAGCCAACTGTAACTTTTAGTGACAGAACTTCCCAATAGTCAGTTGAGGGGGGGAAATACAGATATGCTTTACACCCTGTCTTCCAAGAAGCTCGCATAGGACATCTGCCCCCGAAAGTCCAGCAAAATCGTGTCCATCCATTGCGGCAGAGATCAAGAAGGTGTCAACTAAAGTCGTAGGAGATTGCTTTTCTGTTCCACTCGCTTTCTGTCTAGCCATTTCTCCTTTTATCAGTCTACGGGGCCTCCAACACGCGTCATCGATGGTAATCTTGCTGAATCTAGCGAAAGAACGAATCGCCTCTGCTTGGACACGCATGATTTCAATATGGTTCTACCCCTGCAACCGACAAATACCGTTTACGTATCTGTGCATTGGAATGCGTCAGAAGGCCTGATAGCAGCTTCGTCCAGAGATACGACATTGTTGGATGGGAAGGTCGGAAACCATTAACAGCAGCCTATAGGGGAGGAACTTGTGTTGCACAGCAATCTGGTTGTGAAACCTCAGGCTTTCCTGACTTCTCACATGAGTACTACATGATAGTCATGTAACATCATCCAACTCTAGAATCAGTCTACGCCGATAATCTAGCAAAAATAAGAATCTACTTATAAGGTATCAGAAAGAAGCCGAAGAACTAATAAACAAAAGGCCACTACCGCCTAATGCCGCCTTACGTGGAACATCGAGCTGAGTGCTAGTATCTTCATTTGTTCCCATCATAAGGTTTCTTCATAATGGCTTCAAAATACATGACGGAAGCCTGAATGCACGGGCCACTTCCGGAAACTTGCCGGGCAAGGAACCAGCATCCACATTTTATCGCAATCTCCTCGATGTCGTCAAGATAGTAATATATCCTTCCTGAAATCAGGGATCCGAAACTGAAAGCAAGGGGTTGAGGCACGGCTCTTGATGAAGCTTTTCTGCTAGTAGACGTCACTCGGTTACCGAATGGAGACATGTGCGCCGGGGCACATACTGGAGTTTCTTGATAACCGGATTGCAAAAATGCGGTAGACTTCTGGTGTGATCATCAGAAGAATCTTGATATACTTGTTTAGGGGTATCACAAGATATTTCGGCTGCGCGTTATCGGCGTGTTGCGTCAGTTGATCTTGAGGGCGCTATCTTCTTCCGCTCCCTGATTGGTGCAGTGTTGGTACCTAAAAAGCCCAAAGGGCAAGCTGAAGTTTGTCGTATCTGTTCTGAGCAGGACGAGCACATACAATAGCAATATCGTCCTCAGTTGACCCTCAATTCACCCCCTCCATTATTGCTCCAAACACCAACATGGCAAACTGCATATACCAATACTCCGTGCTGGGAGCGCTCATGGACGGCATCTGTCAAGATGGAACCACGGCGCAAAACATTCTCAAACATGGTGACCATGGCATCGGCACCATCCGCGGTCTCAACGGCGAATTAGTGATCATCGACGGGGTGGCATATCACTTCCCAGCGGACGGACCCCTACGCCCTGTCGAAGACGCGGATATAATCCCATACGCAATGACTACCAAGTTCCAGCCCACGCTGACCAGCCATGTTCCCTGCACCTCCATGTCGTCTCTATTCGACACGCTGTCACCTGTATTTCCGGGTGAGCAGAACGTCTTCCTCTCGATTCGGCTCGTTGCCTCCTTCTCGCGGGTCGTCTTTCGCGTGATTCCAGCCCAGTCAAACCCACGGGAAACCCTTTTATCTCTGGCGAAAAGGCAGGAGATCCGAGAACGCAAACATATACAGGGCACGCTGTTCGGGTTTTGGTCACCCAAGTATACCAGTGGGCTTAGCGTACCGGGATTCCACCTGCATTTGCTGTCCACGGATCGTACTTTGGGCGGCCATGTTATGGATTTTGATGCAGAGGATGGGCAGCTGGATGCAGCAGTGGTGAGAAATTACCAGGTGGAGCTTCCTGATTCGGAGGAATTTCGCGAGGCACCCTTGAACTGCGTGAAGGAGCAAGAGCTGCACACTGCTGAGGGAGTCTCCACGTCTCATTAAGCTTGTGTGACTGTGTTCGAGTGATTTATACATAGAAAACCAAGTATCTTGAGTGTATTGGGTGCACACCAAACCCATGCAGTTGTAGCTAGCCTAGTTTTGCAAGTATGGGATTTGATAAGCCGGACGATCCTGTCTTGAAAGAAGACAGAGTTGAGGTTTAGACTCAGGTTAACAACATTATAATGAGCGTTCATTTCGGAAACCATAGCGAACTCAAGATACAAGACGTATCGCGAGCAAGCAAATGACCAGGTGTTTCATCGCATTCAGGGGGTTCGTTGCCGCACCCATATTGATTGATTGGCGATCGCAGATTAGCTTTCTCGTAATCCACGAATCCCCAGGCTAACAGAAGAATGTAAGAGTATTACAACTGAAATTACTACTTAAACTCACCCGGTAGAAGCCTTACAGAATTATTAATGTATAATGACCATAGCATATTGTACTTCAATATACATGCAACCCCGGAGAATTGTCAGATACGACACGAAAACAAGGTATCCGAGCAAGAGGATCATTATCACATATACGCTCCACAAAGCGAAGAATAATGCAAGCCGATCAAGACAAGGCCGGCAGGACCCAAGTAGTCACCGATTCACTGGGGATATTTCCACTCCACTCCTCTCCGCTCTCAGTCGACAAAGTCAAGTAAATATCGTTACTGAATATATTCTCAATAATGACTGTGCGCGTTCCGTCAGGGTTCAGGGATGCCACCGACTGTACGCCATCGCCACCCGAGTAGGTATAGCTCCCCGTTCCGTTCAACACGGTCGCGCCAGGAGGCATGAACTTGCTAAACTGTGCCATCATGTAGTAGGCAGTATTAAGAGTATAGCTGTCATCATCGTTGATGGTGACCAAGCCCTGACAGGCGTCGCATCCACCACTGGTCAAATGCGGACCGTCGTCAGTGTTCGTGCCCAGAGTCCACGCCATGACCCCCGACGCATAGTTCTGCAGAGGGCCCATGGTAAAGTCAGCAGCCTGGTGCCATGATCCGGAAGCTGGTGTCCAGCATTCGGTCATGTATTGCTTGACTCCAGGGTTGGCGCTGTAGAACTGGCTGAGGACGGTCCAGTCCACATCAGTAGCGTAGCAGTGCCAGGCTACAGTGTCGACGTATTGGCTTGCTTCATCAAGCGCAGTCTGAGGGTACGAAGCATGATCTGGATGTCGATTATTAGCAGTTGTCAAGGATTGTCGAGAATGGGGTACTTACCAGTATTGTGATCGAAGGCCCAGATTTCCGTGCTCAGTCCAGCGTCGGCGAGAGCCGGTCCAATGTATTTTTGGATCAGCTGCGCAGACTCATAGTCGTAAACATACATGGTGGGATATCCAGATTGACTATTCAACGGCTCGTTCTGAATCGTAATGGCATCGACCGTAGCTCCCAATGCTTCGTACGCTTGGATGTATTTCACGAAGTACTGCGCGAATGCACTGGAGTAGCCGGTGCTTCCCGTGCCACCACTGGTAAGGTAGCCATCGTTGAGGTTGTTATCAGTCGCGTTGCCATCAATCACGCCATTCAATTTCATCCATCCGGGCGCACTCCACGGGGACCCAAGCACCTTCAGGTCTGACTGCAACGATTTCATCGTGGCCAACATTTCCGCCATAGCAGTGCCACGGTCGCCGAGACCGAAGCCGGAAAGTGAGGGGTCTGCTTCGTTTCCATTGTCATCATAGGTGTAGACCGGATCACCAGACAGATCAGATGCGCCGATGGTGTGGCGCATGAGAGAGAAATTAGCTCCATCGGAAGTCATCAACTCATTGAGGAGCTGTTGGAGGGTAGAGCTCGACAAGGTGTTGAAAGACGTGACGGTCGCATCGGTCACAGCAGCCCCGAAGCCAGTGATTGCCTGCTTGTGACCGGATGATGTATCGTCAATACTGAGCTTCCAGGTGGATGCTGAGCCCGGGCTGCCACTTCCCTGAACTGGGGCCGTGATTGACGAGAGCTTGTAGGTACCCGATGAATCGGAGCAGTACGCGGATGCATCGGTGGCGCGTTTCTCGAGAGAAGCATGGCCTAGAGATGCTAGGCCAGCTATAGTGTACCACAACATCCAACTCATTTTTGAAGGAGTAAAAAGGGGGATCTCATATCAGTTGATGTGAACATGAGGGCGAGGAGCTCCGGCAATATATTCTGCTCCATGTTTAGGCCCCCAAGTGGCAGTTTCAGGGATGCCCTGGCCCCGTCTTCGGTTGGAGGCATAAGCCCCAAGCATCACCGAGGCTAAGGTTGCAAAAATGTGCTAGCTTGGCTGACAGGGACGAACTCTAATGTAAGATGACCTGCCTAATTGAGAAAATGGTAGGTGAGATTTTGCCGTTAGCGAGAGGGACTGAACGCTTATTTGCCTAAATAATTATAGCTGGCCGCATGCACGCGAGTCCCGCGTACTCCGATGCAAGGGGGGCCGGAGACCATGAAGTTGAACATTGCTTTGTATCAAGCTATGTCAGGTGGCTGGCGAGATCTTGCCGCGCTCACTCACCCAGTGTTTCAGCTCAACTCGTGTGGAGGTCGGAGGATCCTGGTGTTGTGCCCCATGAGTTTCTTTTGTCCACACATCTGTGTTGGCTATTACTGCGTCTGGTCTTTATTATCATGCGAGTACTGCATAATGGATGGACATACTGAGCAAACAAGACATTATACTGGCATGGCTGGGTCCATGGTACGTCCGTGTCGATCTTTTAGCTTATACCTACTTCCACAATAAGCAGAACCAACATCAATAAGTATGAAAAGGTCTCACGAATCTGTAGGTATTCCGGAAAATTGCCTCATCTTGTTGCTCCAGCCATGGATAGGCTGTTTTGACTGAAGATGGGCAACATGTGGTTGTGTGGGGTAGTGGTCATCCCTTCGGATTTTGAGGACTTGATGTTTCCAGAATTCCGACAACCCCGGTTCGAACCCGGGCACGACCTGAGATTCTTTTCTTTTATTTTTCTCTATACCATGCCAGATTCTATCCTTTTAGATCTTCCCAGTCTTCGAAGTGTACGACACCTGCTATCTGCCATCAAGCTTCTCTCACTGCACACTAGTAGGAGGTAACTTCCCGCGAGGCAATAGGAACCACCCACGGCAGTCCCCGTCAGCCCGACCGTCTGACTCCCGGTTTCTCCCCCATGGATAGGCAGAAACATCTGGCCTCCCAATTCTGTGCAACATAAATTCCCTGTATCTGCCCCCTCTTTCTCCTGCCATAAATCTCTGTTACCACTTCTTCATCATCATCATCCCCGTCATCGACCATGGATGAATCCAAGCCAGAACAAGATAACTCTGCCACATCGGATCAGAGTACCCTAGCCGCCATGCAGGACTTGACAGTATCGATCCAGAGTCTAGTGAGCCTACTTCGCCAGGAAAGTGAGCGGCGAGAATTGCAAGTGAATCCAAAGAGAGCTAAAGACAATGATCCAATCCTGAATGCTCTCGGTGAGGAAATTGCAGCTGGGCGCGCAACGCACATCCCAGAAGGGAGCCCAGTGCAGCTCATGTCGCAAGAAGAGATTGATGAAAAGAATGAAGCGCATAGGGAGAAATACACAGGTATGATGATTTGACCCCCCTCATCCCCAAAACCAGCTGAATCCGAAGCGATACTTACACATTGCAGCCTTCTGGAAGGATTTGCCGTCCTCACCAACTGACATGCAAACCACCGAAGATGCCTACCAATGGGCTTTTGACCTATATCCTCAAATCTATCACTCTTTGGGATGGCATAAGAATGAGGATCTTCTTTTCACTGCAAATAGCCTATCAAAACATCGTGACGACCTTCTAGAAGCACTCTTCGCCGTTGAAGCATATCGGCGTCGGCAACTCGATGGTCCCATGGAGCCATCACGCGCGGCCTTCGAATATTCACGGTTACCTCGCCTGCTTTTGATACTTGTTCGCCTAGAAGCCAGACGGAATGACGCTCGGGAATGCCGCAACGGAGCTTGTGTGGATTGTCGCTACTTCGATGCGGACCAAACCCTCCAGGTTCTGATGGAAGTGGGTCGAACACTGCGCCACGACAAACACTGGAGGGCGAATGGCACCACTCTGCAGGAACTGCTGCATCGCTGTTATGCCCGGCGTATTCTATCTCAACCTAATGCTGATAATCCTGATATTCTGCGATACCAGTTCCATCTCATTTATGACTGCCTGGATGCGTTGAACTTTACGTCGCGGTTCCGCGAGATTCGAGATGCGCTTTGTCTTACATTCTATACCAGATATCAGACGGAGCCCATTCATAAGATATTTGACATGGTCCAGCGTCACAGAAGCTCTCTCAAGGGTATCGAGGAATTCAAAGAGCTTCCGCTGGAAGAATCTCCTGGCTCGACTTTCTTTCCAGAGACGCTCACGGTTCAGCACCTGCAGAATTTTGGCGACTTGAGAATTGAATGGACAGACAATCTGGATGACCATCTCAAAATATTCACGGGTCGCAATGTGCTCAGGGTCTTTGCTCATCCCACATTCTTCTACAATTGTCAAGATCTCGTGGAAAGAGATTATATCGAACCAATGTATCTCGAATTGTCTCGGACATACGCCCTTCTTTTTAGGCCATCATCCCGACCGGCACTGCGACTGCTGCGAGAAGCAACTAGGTCAGACGAGATCACCTGGCTGGGAAGGAAGATTGATCTGAGTCTCCATCGACCGGGTATGGAACAGGGCACTGGCAAATCTTTTGATATCGATCTGGCCAAGCCATCAACAACCCGTATCTTGGAGAACTTCCATCGCTGCTCTGTTCCGCCCAGCATTCAGGCCGCTTTCAACGTCGACAGTCCCTTGGTCAATATCAAGGATACCAGCTCCTTCAACCAACACAAGTTCACATCCAGCTCCATGCGGCAGATTCATAGTCTTGTTCCATTCTATCCTGAAGACATCACGTTTATGATAACGTCTATCTTTCAGCACGAGTTTCATTCCAACGAGCCTTTCATAAGCTATGAGTACTTTGGTCCTCGATTGCGCCGGCTCAAAACATACCTGGACAATCAGCAGCCCACTACCCTGAAGCAGCTGTGGTTTGACAGGAGAGATGCCCGGGCGTGGTGGACATTTTGGGGTGGCGCTTTCTTTCTCGTTGTGTTTGCGGTGCTGGCTGCTGTCAATGTGAGATTCCTGGCTTTACATTGAGTGGACCCCGCTTCCAAGGCCAGAGTCACCCAACTAGCAGATGGAATCGTAAAACATCTATTATCTGCAGTAGCTGGATCTCGTACCTCAGAGGCATGTCAGGAACACCAAGCTGCTAATCCAACTTAGGAGGACGGTTCTGTTCCTTGATTTTCACGTCTGTTCCCCATAGTAGTTCAAATACACCCACATAATGCTGTAGGAACGACTGATGTCAGTCCCAAATTGAATGTAAATTCTTCAGGAACCGTGTGCATACATTCCATCCAAATAACAAATTACAAGTAGCAAGGCTGATTGGCCAAAAGCAAAGGCCTAGAATAGAAACGTTTCCAGCTAGTTGTCCACTAATCTTATTGTAGCTCTACAGAACGACTGTATAGAAACGACTTTAAAAATAACTCAGAAAGTTCAAACGCATCACAACAAGACTATTAGGACCTGTGGGATCTACACTAGTAAGGGCCATCCCAGCAGTTGATTACACCTGACTTGCTATATTTATCTCAAGAAATAGGTAGGCAATCCGGTGTTCTTTTATAAATCTTCTATTTTTGATCAAATTTTTTTCTGCTATGTAGCTTCAGCCATGATAGTATTATTCATGCCTGTAGTAGATTTCTTACATTTCCTCCTTTTTAGTAATTAAGCGTTGAGTATAGCTAAGATAATTATATTTATAGTAAATATCAGCTTTTCTCTTGCTTTAATTGGTAGGATACCTCTCTTATCCCGAATAATAGGATCTATGTCACAGTTTCCTTTGGATAGAGGGGCTGTGCAACATACGGAAATCAACTGGACTACTTCATGAAGATTCATAGTTTGATATCTGATTCTCACATAGCATATATTATATAAAATTATTACAATCGCGAGCTTGGTCTGTTGACTTTTTCCAAGTACCTCCTAGTCTGTTCTCTTGTTAGCGATTCTATGTAACTGATTGTCTCTATTTTCAATTCTCCTATTTACGGGCTCGAATGCACTCGAGCCGAGGGGATACAGACTCACTTGTTCAACGACATCGTAGTCGTGGACCCACTTAAAAAAAGCAGGACTTGTAAAATCTGCAGCAGCATCCGGTTCGATATCTTTGATGGACTCCCAGTCGGTATCAGCATATTTCTGATGCGAGCCCGCATGATCTTTGTGCCCGAGAAACCTTCGCGTGTTCCAAGCAGCAAAGGATTTGATGCGTTCAACTCGAGGCTTTCGAATATTTTCCCAGAATCTACTTATCACAGAAACATTAAAGTACGGAAGTGACAGAAGCAATATCTGCAGTGCTCCAATATCCTCGATAATCTGCGACAACCCCTGTCGCGAGAAAATTAGCGTATGACTCTAGTTGCGGGTATTTTCAATTATTCCTGAAAGTCTTGACGTGAGGCTAACCTGTGCTGCATTGGGCTCCATTGCATGGGCCGAGTCACCCAATAGGATGGTTCTGCCAGTCCTACTCGTCCAGCGAGGAAGATTTGGCATTTGAGCAATCTTCCACCTGTCGCACTTGGTCGCCAAGTTGAGAACTGCAGAAAGTGGAGGGCATATGCCCTCAAAACGCTGCCTCACAAATACGATATCTCCATCCTTGGTAGTTTTTAGTGTATCATAATAGATTGGTTGCCTAGGAGTAAACACATACCTCGCTCCACATACTGGCTTGGCCATCATCATGTTTGAGGCCGAACAAGCCGCTCCAGAATCCCATTTTTCTGGGCTTTCGACCAACAACAAAACGTTCGTCGCCTACCCAAACACATGGTTCAAATTGCTGTAGCAATAAAGTGGCGTCAGTGTCTAATTGTAGTTCTTTCTGTGGCACTGTTACGCCATAGAATACCGAATCGCTCACTTGCGGGTCTACCGACCAGCCCGCGGATACGTCAAACAAAACTTTAGTACGCAAGCGTGATTGAATCCCGTCAGCAATGAGAATGAGATCGCCAGCTGTTGTTTTTCCTCCTTGAAACTGTAAGCTTGGACTTTCGCCGGGGTTATCCGAGAAGTCTTCCACGAAACTGCTGAAGATAATCTCGGCCCCAGCTTGCACGGCATGTTGGTAGAGAATATCCTGTAGAATGGGTCGATGAATGCCCCAATCCGGAAACTTGGTGAGAGATGCTGGCAAAGTGCGTATCTTGTCCTTTCCGGTCTTCAGGTCTCTGATGGAGTCCGGGAGACAGTTGTCCGCGACTTGTTCAATGGCGTCTCCAAGGCCCCAAGACTGAAGAATGCGAGACGCACCAGGACGAATCAGCAGTCCACTCCCCTTCGGCGACAAATTCTCTCGCCTCTCAAAGACCTGCATAAATATATTATTAAAGAAAACCAAAATTTCAGGTTTGGTCTACTTTCCTGGACATGGTGGCCGTCCCTGGCAAAGCAGTACGCAGCCGCGAGGCCGCCAAGACCTGCACCCACAATGAGGATCTTCATATTATTGGTGTTTGGTTTCATTCCTAGTATCTAATACACATTGAAGTAGGAGTGAATGGAGAGGGCGAATATTATGGAACTATAAATTGATGATTTGGGGGATGACGTCTGCACCCGCACAAATGAGCATTGGACGCCTGATTGCACTCAACCAACCCGGAGAACCGCAAATGGCACGCCTAACAATTTATTCCGAGATCGCCAACATAGAAGGGAGTCTGAAATTGCAGTAAGCTCCGCTCTTCTCCTTTGTGCTCGTAACAACGCAGCGCACTGCATTAAGAAAGTTCTGTAAGGCAAATCCTACCCGAAGCGAGTGCGCTAAAAGGAAACGAAAATCATACTACTCAATAGAAGATAGAAACGAATTTGAAGAATGAATTTATGTAATACCATTTATTTTTCAATCAGATTATTCCTGAACATGACAGTCCTTCAAAGTTAGATATATTGCGCTAATTGCTGGTCTTGCGCGGGGCAGTAGAACTGAATTTATACGTGCCCTCCGGCATAACTTCGGCGTGAGTGCACCAAAGGTATACAGTAGTAGCAGTAGAGGTAGCAGTAGCAGGGATACTTAGTAGGAGGATCAGGAGTAGTAAATAACATGATCGCCATGATATCTAAAAAGTACCACAATACCAACATCGATGACCTCACGACTTATCTTCCGTATCTAGCATAGCCAATATGGGCTATTATGGTTGTAAAAAATACAATCTCATAAGATCTCGGGATCTTATCGATGATTTTTTATTTACTTACAGATATTCACAGCCATCGAAATCAATATTAATCAAATACCCACCATCCCCCGGAAAAAGCTTATTTTATCAGAAAATTACACTAAGCAAAACGAGAATCATATTGACAATCAAGGCTATATATAGAAATATCAATCGAAATTGTATGAAAAGCAGACTAATATTCAGTACTATGCACATAACTTCATTTGAAAATAGAGAATCTCCCTCTAGGATACTACAAGACAGACAATGCTCTTCCTAGAACGAGAACCAGCTCTAAGCAGCTAACTTAGAAGCCGGAAACCTGTATGAGGTAGATAACTCAGACTTCAGTTATAAACTATCATCATGTAATTCGTGGCTGTCACCGTATAGCTTCGTACCCACTACCCAGCTGCGGAGTTTGGTGCTCACAATCTTTGGGTAGCACCCAAGCGTGTGATTTCGGAAACTAGGGGGCTGCTGCACTGTTGTACATGTCCTTTATGAGCGAACCCTTAGTCAAAGATTTGATTCACCGAGCCAGGCTAGTCGGGCAAATCCCCATCACATATTCATTGTACAGTGAAACAAGTGGGAGGGACAAGAGATCAAAGCCAGGTTCCCGTTAGAGGTAAGTTCCGGGCAATCCATACAAAGCAACTGCCGCATTGCTGCATACCAGAACTCTAACAAAGGTTGACTTCAAAGACAGGGCCATCGAGTGCCATTCAACAGCTGGCTATCCAGACACTTGGCGCGTAATGGATTCTCCGTGTGGGTGTTGTCTGCCATGAAAACTCTAAAACCTGTATTATCCCCAAGGTGTATATAAAGGTGTTATTCATTGGCCTGTTTTTGAATTCACCATCCAAATGCCTCGCTAGATCCCTTTCAGATCATCAACCATTGCGGTCAATTTATTTTACATGTCACTGGGTAACTTCTCTTGAATATCATGGCATTGAACGGCGGTGAAGACATCGCTATCCTGTGTCTGGCATACAGGGAGACACTCGATGAGACTTATGAATCGTTGATTTGCAAACTTAGTGAACGATACAACTTGGTACGGTTACCAACAGCCTCAGTCGCACGCACATATCTGGCGAATCAGAGCGCAAAGAGCATCATTGTGACAGACGGGGGCATAAGCGAGCCACAGAACCAAGATTTAGCGAAAAGGCTAAAGGCCTACATCGAGGTTGGAGGATCGGTAATATTTGCACTGGAATTTGCCAGCACTACCTTTGGTTATGAATTCAACAATCTCTTTGGCCGGGATTTTGGCACAACCTGGGAATACAATGGCTGTTGCAAGACCACTTGTAGATTCAATGGGAACTGCATTCTCCCAACCGGACCTGTTTCTGAATGCTCGTATTATATGGAGGCACATTTTATCAAGAACGCTTCACCTATTGAGCAGATCGTTGTTCCACTGGAAGGTTCCATGGAATTAAGCCAGGCCGTGGCGGTTGGAAAGAAGCTGGGCGAGGGATATCTAATCTATTGCGGGAACGGGAGTGTTGCGGTGGAATTGTGCAAGACGTTAGTGTTTATGCAATTAGCAATGGCTCATTAGAAGATCAGATTTACCAGTGGATTTACATACTGGTATTTTCCAAGAGAGAATAGTATATCAAAGAGTCAGGAATCCAGGTTCGAACCAATCCATCTGCATTATCTTCTTATGCCGCATCGGGGGTTGCCTCAGGATCTGTGGACCTTTGCTCGGGCGAAGGTGAGGCCTCTGTCTTCCATAAGACCGGCTTTAGTTAATCATTATTATAATGAGCTTAGCATAGCATCATTTAGTAAGTTTGTGCAGATGATATCATGCTCAACTGCAAAGTAGTGAATTTTGACTAGAATCCATTATCTATGGCCAGTGATTACAGTGTATTATACATTGTAAATGAGCCTGGACCAATGCAGCTTTAAGGTCTATGGTGAAGACCGTTGGTGAATAAGAGAGTGGCTACTGAGCTTGTGAGGTCCATCAATTCTTTGGTGTTTTTCCTTATGGTAAAGTACAAAGTACTATACCGGTTACTACCGTTCTGGTATTCAGGTACACGTAGAAAGGCCCATCCAATCCAAAATTCAATTTACAACAAACTTATTCAGGGCTTCTGCTATATAGTCTTGATCAATTGCTCCGATTCTCACTTTCCCTTGTGTAATCAATTTGCCCTCAATTCTCCATCATCTTTATCACTGCTGAGCTTTTTATTCTCAACCAAACCTCTCAATATAACATGGCGTCCAAGCGCCCGGAGATCCTCCTTCTCTGTGTTGCACCAAGTGACTTTGTTGGGAATCGTTTTGAGCCCCTTTTGGAATGCCTAAGAGAATGCGCCGACTTGAAGCGTGCCACAACGATTGACGAGGCATTACGTGGCCTGGAAGCCAATCCCAAAGTCGTCATCGTCGCTGACGAAGGTGTAACTATACCCGTCAACCGACTCGTCGTGGAAGAGCTAGAAGAATACATGCGCAGAGGAGGTTTGGCCATTTTCGGTTTATGTTTTCCCGGCTTCGTGACTAAGGACCGTTTCAGGAGCGTCTTTAGAGTAAGAATAGGTTTGCCGTGGGTGATAGGCGATAATCAACGAACCACATTCGAATTTCATCCTGATTGCACCCTTCCAGCAGGAACAGTGGTTGACTCGTTCCCTACACCATACAGAATGGAGGCGGTTCTCATTAAGAACGCCCGCCCCAAAGAGAAGATTTACGTTCCTATCAAAGGTGCTATGACGGAGTGGCCGCGGCCAGAACCCATCGACCAGACACACGCTGCAGTGGTGGGGGCAAAAGTGGGGGATGGATATGTGGCTTATTGCGGGGATATCAATCCGGGTGAGAAGCTGGATCAAGTCATTTTATCTCTGTGTGGCTTTTGAGCATGTCAATTACACTGCAACCTTGCCATGGCGACAACAGAAATCAGCGTTGTTTGTCGAGCGAGTGACTCATACAAACCACAGTCCTCACAAGGAATTCGCCGCTTTCTGTTACGATACACACATGACAATCTAGCTACTACACAAAAAGGGAATCATGGAGAAATAATTTACTTCTACTCAGCGAAGCCGCTATTATAAGTTTTGATGTTTAACCTGCGCATTGACGACTGTAAAGATGGCCATTTCCTTGAGCCGGCTATTTTAGACATGAATGTTTCGTGAAGCTTCGGGTGGAATTTGGCATAGATCCACGGGACAAGGTCTTCGAATAATGCCTGGCAGTTTTCAATCGCCCAATGGGCTTACTCAATTGCTTCACAAAGCCCGCTCAAATATACCATTCGAATGAAGTTTCGAATACATACAACCGCGGGGTGTGTGAAACAGGGCTTCCCGTCCGCTCAGGGTGCTTGAGCCACCCGCTGGGAAGTTATAAGTTGACCCCTAGCGAAACCTTTCTGTTTTGTATGTTTTCTGTTGCCTACATGCGCTTGTATGGATCTTTGATGTAGTGCTAGATAATCTATATTTAACGGCTCTGTAAGCTAAAAAGACTAGCTGCTATGCTCAAGAGAGGAATAATTGTCGAGCTTCTTTATCAGCCCCTATCTTGTCTGCTCACTCTCATCGCAGTTCTCCAGTCTCTGCTATATGTAAGCTATTGCTAAAGATTTCAATTGCCAAGATGAGGTCTGGAAAGACTCGGTGTCAATTCTCCTGCGTCAAAAGGTATATTAGATGTCCCATCTACGGGGGGGATACCGTCAGTCATTTAGCCCCCACGGTCGCAGACCAGGTCTTCTCTCATAAGCATCGCTTCCTATCTTATCGCCTATCTCTTTACTGCCAACGACATAGAAAGTGGTCACTTGAGTCGGCGCTTCGCTTGGATTGTATTCCTCCTTAAACAAGCAAACGTATCTCTGACTCTTGTCTTTTAACGTCTCCGTGCGCCGCAGCGAGTATGACAGGATGGAGAGTAAATTCGTCGCAATACTACCAATAATAAAGGTACACATTCTGATCAGACTCTTGAAACTTGATATCTCCATACGGAGTGGAAAAATAAGAGGCCTTAATCTCTATAAGATAGGGTGTAAAGCTTCGGATAAAAACAAAACAAATGACCAATGCAGGGATCGAACCTGCGATCCTCTGCGATCACAATGATTATGTAAAGCAGATGCCCTAACCACTAGGCCAATTGGTCCATTTGACGGAAATAATTCTTTATCTTTTATCTAGATCGTAGCTTATCATTTTTTCACACAACTACTTTCTATGTCACGTGGTATTAATATATCTTCCTATTCAAAGTATCATCTTACCAGTCAACCTAGCTTTTACGGGTAGTTTACAGAATACATACTTAGCTTTAGCCTTCACCCACAGGATAGAATGGTATTAGCTAGTAATTTATAGATTATCCTTAGATCTAGTCTCATCCTACAAGGACTTTTGTCAAAAGGTTATCTATCTTCTATATCTCGGAGGCTAAATGAGACAGCTTATCTTGAGAAAGAAAAAAAAATGACTTAGTACCTGTCACTTGATGCTTATTCTCTGGTTGCATACACACACCACTTGCAGCCTCGCATAGGTGGCAGGTTTGGTATAGTGGACACCAATAAAGCACTAGACGGGTTAGCTCCAAGTTTCGATCAACGAGCACCACGGAATCACGCTCGGTGAAAGCCCCGCCCAGCAAAACAATTCTACCCTAAAAATGAGATATGCGTGGTACTTGTTTGTCGCAGCCTGCAAAGGAAATATTTATTTAGGTATATTCGGCCAGCCCTTCCGCTACTCGAGTCGCCATCTTGTCTCGATAATTGGCGATACACCACACTCACCCGGCTCACTGGCTTCATATTTGAATGCCACCTGCGCCCGTTCCAAATATCCATATGAATCTAAATGACTCTGTTTGGTAATTAAGGGTCTTGTTACATGTAACTAAAGACTTGGATTAGATCGCACATCCCATGGAACAGGATTTTATATGAGTAGATCCTAGCGATTGCATATACCTTGGTTTCAACGTAAAGATAAAAGCTTAACATGCGTGTTCATTATTGCACTAATTTCCTTGAAACCGGGTGTTACCTAGGTAGTAGGCTCATCAATTGGCTACAAGTCAGGAAGGGTTATACTAGACGTAGCGAGCGTGTAATAGCAAAGTAATTATCGTCCTACAGATCATGTCCTGGGAACTTTGTTAGGGTGTACTGCACTTAGGTTGGAGCCACCCAGTCGGGATACGCCTGTAGATCCCTTGGATGATGCGACACGCTGCGCGCTCTGCTATGAACTGCTCTGGTGCTTCAAATATACCCATAAGCAGGCTATCTAGCAATTGAAAGCGGGTTTCAACACGATGAGGAAAACCCTCTCCTAAATCTTACAACCCTACATATACGCTATATGTATGAGATATTCCAAGTAGAGGGCCTTAATAAGATATTATCTGATCAAAGAACTTCTAGATCCCCTGAAAAGAACATCAGTAGTCCATAGATCGTCTCATATTGTCCCGCTTGCGACAGCATCTGAAGACATGAAAGTATATGCTTCTCAAAGTGGTGAAGAATTGAAATATTCAATTTCTCATATGTGTAACACCGGGTAGTTGAATTCGATATTCATCCTATCATAAATAGGGATTGATAGGGAATTTTCTAATCATCCATGGTTCTAAGGTAGATTGCCTCAATTACAAACTTCACTCTTCCTCCGAATTACTTGTCCTACCAACGAAACTCAAACTCCGGCCCCTTTGCCCCCATCTCCCCATTGCATTTCCGTTGATTCCGAGTTGTGAAATTGTATTCTTGACAATTGATAGCGGGAAGGAAGAAGTCTAAAATTACCGAAGTTCCGGAATTTACAGTTTTTGAAAGAGGTAACGCAGATCAACGTTATTACGACTCGGACTTCGTCTTTTGTTCATGCCGAATCACACCATCAATTTGTCAGCTCATGGACTGACTCAGCGCCAGGATTTAGTTAACTGCTTCTCCAGCTCGACTGCGGGAATTTTGATAACTTCTGCTCTTGCCATAAGAAGACTAGTTTATGCAGAAACGCAGCAATCTATACCTGCGACCCCCAGCACCCAGACACGTTTTTTTTTCTAAACCCTCAGGATGTCCATTTCAGAGTGTTGTATCAAAGGCTTCCGCTGGAATGGCACCCCAACCGGACGCACGGATACCCTCGGTCCCAATGCCGTCTACATCACGGGCTCGAACCCCGATATTGCCATCCTCTTCATTCCCGACTTATATGGCTGGACCTTCCCCAACGTCCGTCTCCTGGCAGACCGCTTCGCCACGGAAATCAACGCCACGGTATTCGTCCCCGATTTCTTCGGCGGTGAGGTCCTCGACTTTGACCTGATTACCACGAACCAATTCTCCCGCCTCGATCTGCCGGGATTCTTCTCCCGGAACGGGCGCACCCAGCGCGAGCCCGAAATCTTTGAATTTGCGCGGCGGCTGCGCCGAGAGTTAGGCTTCCGGCGGATCGGTGCGGTCGGTTATTGCTACGGTGGGTGGGCTTCGTTCCGGCTGGGCGCGGCGGAGCATGCGAACGAACCCTTAGTGGATTGTATCTCCATTGGACATCCATCGCTGTTGCTGAAGGAAGATATTGAGAACGTGGCAGTGCCGGTGCAGGTGCTGGCTCCTGAGATTGATGCTGCGTATACGGCAGAACTGAAGACGTATACATTTGAGACGCTGCAACGACGGCAGGTGGTTTTCGACTATCAGCATTTTCCCGGGGTGGAGCATTCGTGTTTTATTCGTGGGGATAAAACCCAACCCGGGGAGCGGGCGGCAATGGATAGGGGGAAGAACGCAGCGGTCGCGTGGTTCAGGCAGCATCTGGCAGAGCGAGCACAGTAGGTTGGTCTGGCTTTCAGCGACGATCTCCGTATTGGTGTAAGTGAAATACTGTACTGCTAATCTTCAAGCAGGATAATCAAGCAGGATACCGCAGCAGGGGATATGGCTCGAAGAGCAAAATTGCTGATAGCCTGGATTGCGTCTCAATATCACAAGACCTTAACCGTGCGCCATGGAATGTTCGTTTCTCTTAATGACTTTGCTGATTTATATCCTAAGGTCTGACCTGGACCTTTCTTATTGCAGTGATTTATTGAGTAATCTAAGAAGTAGTCTTGTATTTATCTATTACTCGATATTGTGGCAGCGAGTGGTACCCTGGATTATATTACAGAGTATTTGCTTTATTTACTTCGATACTGCTACTATATAGTGAAGTTACAGAACAAGTTATTTATAACTGTAGTATTGCAAAGTATAATAATTATATGTCTGCCATTGCCAGTGCTAGTAATTCTGCCCTCCCATCCCAACGAAAAAAATATTTACATTCTCATGTCAATATCCAATACAAATTTCTCGACAATTAGAGCCGCTATGCCTGACCGTCGATCAACGGCCAGGTTAAGGCATAGAGATCTCTTGACTACGAGATATAACAGTTAATCACTTTTCTCAATACACCTAATCAGGCTAGGTCAGACAGAAATATGATAGAAATTCACTGCGAATACTGACTGCTTTCCTAAATAGGATCAGGATATTGAAACAAGAAATAGTTACCGTGGCAGTTGACTCCTAATATAGGCCACTTCGTAGAGGTAAGAAGGGACTACTCAGTAGTGGAATCATCCGGTGTAGTTCCGACTCAAACTTGATTGCTGCTCATGTTTTACTGCGCTCATCACATTCAGATCCAAATCGTAATACCAAGAAGGGACACAGGTGACTAGCCTGGAGGGACTCCCATACAATACAACCACTTGAGTTCTTTGCTTAGCCAATCTTTCATTCCCAGGCTCCCTAGCTCCTGTCCTCGCTTTTCCGCCTGATATCCTCCAGAATTTGAGCGGGATCCTTACTCACATTCTGCCACTCCCTCTCTATGATCTCCTGCCTCTTTGATCCACGGACTTGGAATGAGGCCTTGAACGGCCTGGGTGCTGCTTTAAATGTCAATTCGATGTCCCACGGATCGATTTCAATTCTCTGTCCATCTTTGTACGAGTGAGTGATATTGTATGCCCACAAGAGCCGTGCAGTGAGGATGAACACGCTATCCCAGCCTAAGTGCCTTCCAGGACAAATTCTGCGGCCGAAGCCAAACGGACTGTGGTCAAGGTTGGGGTTCTCGATCCACCTCTCAGGCTTGAATTTATCCTGATCAGGGAAAACCTCCGGGTTCAACATCAAGGCCCAGACGTTGGGGATGATCACCGTACCACTTGGTATATGATACCCCTTGTATTCATCGTCCTGGGTGGTTGTGCGAGGAATTGCAAATGGAATCGGCGTCTGCCAGCGCATGGCCTCATTCAGGATAGTGTTGATGTAACTCAATTGAGGGATGTCTCTAAAAGAGGGAAGCCGATCAGGTCCAACAACTCGATCCAGCTCTTGCTGGGCCTCCCTCAAGCAGTGCGGGTGCAGCACGACGGTCTTGATAACCAGTCGTAATATTGTAATAGTAGCGTCAAAGCCGGCTTGTTGAAGGGTTCCTATCACATAGGCAAGTTCTTTGGACGAGACTCGCGACCCCGCACTGGAACGTAAGGCATTCTGGACCCAGTTCCATGTAGACGCTGACTTGGCAATCTCGAAGTGTTTCATATGGAATTCAGTGGCTTCTCGTTCCACGTTGGCCGAGAACTGTTTCCAAGGGGCTAAACAGCTTGGTAGTTTATCAAGTACGGGGAACAGCTCCACCAGGATGTAGTAGGTATTGCCCATGGCTTCGAATGGATGGCGGTTCATAGCATGAAGCTTGGCGGGTATATCATTGTCTGTGGTCTCCAGTCGGATCCCGTACCCAAGTGTCATGAGTATACTGCCAGCATACCGGCTTAGACTCGCCTCAAAGTCATCGCTCTCAAGGAGTTCAGCAAGTGCCTGTTTACTTTCCATGTCTTCCAGGCTACGATAGCGACTGACTGCAGTGGTGTCTAGAAATGAGCTCATGATACGGTGGTGGTTCTGCCATTGCTTGCCGTACGGCATAATCGCCGAGTTGAACCCGAGGGACATGCGGGAGGCAATAATGAAAGGAGGACGTGAACTGTAGATGGAACCTCGCTTGACCAGTAGATCTTGGATAATCTCAAAGGAGCTAATGCTGATGGCCTGTTGTTGGCCATAGCGGAAG